CGACAACTAGTTCCTGAAGCACAGTGCCCAAACTGCGGTGATTAACACTAGCGGTCAAAAGCTCCGACAATTAAAATACCCAATCGTCATGCTCATTTTTTCTTCCGTGTGATTTACCTTGCGAGTTTTCCTTCATTTCCATATATTTGTTTTCTTTTTTGCTTTCACAGTTCTATTCGTGAGTGAGTTTTTTGGTGTTGTGTTGGTTTACAAATCGTATATTCTATTTTATGTATACATTCTATTTTATCGAGTATCGAAAGGTTTCAGTAAACAAAACAGGCACAAAGAATTTGTTAAATAAAGTGATATCCATCTGATGGCTAATCAGACATTTCTCTATTCATTCTAACTGAAGGACAAGGACTGTACGTGAAAAGGGTCCCTATCGCTATCTTTGTCACCGAAACACGACGCGCGTCGCGAACACCCACAATGGCCGCGCGCGACACAACGCGACTGAACTGCGCACCGTCTTCATGACCACCAATGTCGCGCAGCTTTATGTGCACGGCGTATACCAAACTGCTTTCGGAGAACTGGGCGCTATCGCATTATACAGGGGCATTGTGATGGCAGTGCATTTGAAACCGCGTAAAACATGTCTTTTTGTTAAAACGGGACTAAGCCTTAGGCAGGGAGGGGAGACTCCAAGTGCGTGTCCGTTTTCACTTTCCCTAGAGCTCCTGCCCACTCCAAGGCTCAGTCTAGGAGGAGATATCCTCGTATACCGCGATAGTGCTGAAAGCTGTACAATGCATAGGGCTCTCGGATACTCCAGACCGCAGACCCTCACAAAATTGCATTTTTCAACATGGTTATCTTTATGGGATATTTGTAGTAAAGATTTATATCACAGAATTATACCAGGGTTCAATAGCAGCTAGTATGCGCCACGCATTTTTCGGTCAGCTCCTCGTTGCTTGAACGCATTTTTGTGACGCTCCTTCATTTGGCGTTGTCGACCACCAGTGTAGGAGGAGCCACGCGAAGTGTTCTCTAGAACAGTCGAGTAATAAAAAACGCCTGATCAAGAAGGATCTTTGAATTCTTACCTCCTACACCTGCTCCGGTATCACTAGCACTCTTGGCGTTGTTACTCGAACCACCTAAATACCAATAAGTTGTGATTATCATTGATTATATCAGGGATATTCTCAGATTAAAATAGGAGACAATATTCAAAAAGATGTTGCGCATTCAGCATCAGTCCTCCTTTTTGAGGATGCGCCACGCGTTCTTCCTAGGTACTTGAATACATTTTGCCCTGTACAACGACTCGCAAGAGCCAGCGATGTACAAGTCAGTGTTTTTATCCTCCCAGACAAGTCTGGTACCAATTACCCGACCCACTCGATGGAAGGCTTGGTTGGCCCGGGCAAAAGACGAATCGGGATTCGAACCCCTCTCCCTCACTCCCCCACCACCGATATTGCTGTGCTAACAGGTGTTGCACTCTTTGGGCCTAGAGGAAAAGAATGGAAATATGAACAAAACACAGGAGATGTAGAAGAGTTGCACTCGAAATCAACATTTAAAATTTAACTGTAATAGGTGAAAAAATAGGTATTTAACCTCACATTACGAGGGCTCAAAACTCCTCTAATTTCTCTTGGAGCACTGAGACATGGGTACAAAAGCACTTATGGCAGATTCATTATTTACTCACCTGCAGAATTATTAGCGGGTGCGCGGTAGTATTTCTGTACTGTCGGCCTCGTCCACCTCCTCTGGGTTTGCCTGCGTCTCCTACTACGGGCTCATCTGTCGACTTCCCCTTCACTTTCATCCGATGAAATCTGCGCGCTGAAATTTTAATAGATGATTGTTAGGAATATTTCGTATGCTAGGGATATTATAATAATTCCGAAAATGTAAATTTAGCACGGAGAAGAGCGTAAGTTCACTTTGTTTCCGCGGAGGGAAGTCGTAACTGCAGACGTTGCAAACGTGGAATCAGATGCCATCAAAAGCATTAAAAGCACGAGTCACTCAATTTCTAGGTGCACCAATTCGCTAGTGATTATAGCCTCCATTCGGATTAGCGATTACACGGAGAGTTGAACAGCCCAACCCCGACAGGAATACTATGAACATAATGACCAAAGTAACAGAAAGTGAAAGCTCTATAATAATACACACGGTAAACAAAAAATCAATAACAAAAAATAAAAATGATGAAATCCAATTTAGTCAACGTCACAGTGTTTAGGTCTACACATATGAGGAAAGGATATAATGCTCCTGTTGCCAGAAGCCGGATCTTTTGTCACTCAGCAGGCTAGCTCTTCTGTCACACCAGATGTTACTGTTCCTCCATAGCTTACAAAAACTTATCTAGTGAACAATAACAAATTTGGGGTACTCACTTTAGTGGCTCTACGGTGAACTCCTTCTGTTCATAGCCGTCATCATACTCGTCATCATACACGTCGTCTCCGGGGGTCTCATAACGATATTTCTCATATGTCGGCCTGATCGCCACTTTGTCCGCTTCAGACACTTTGAACTTATGGGTACTTATGTATCTAAAACGCAGAGGGTTAAAAATTTAATGATTAAGCGAAACAATGAAGTTGCACTGCTAAGTAAAAGGTGTTGCACGGGTACTATCACGGGTACTATAAACAAGTAAACTATCTAACTTACGTCTTTGAGGTAGTCATCGGCATTAAACGTTCACCATGCACTCCAACTTGCTCTTCATATTCAAATTCTCCTTCTGACACACGAACTTTGAGACGTTCCAAAGCTTCGCGAAGCTTCTTCATCACCTGTAGAAAATCATATTTTCAATGCAGAACAGATAACAAGGAGGATAAAGCCCTTGGCCCTAGTTAGCCCCTTTTTGAGATGCACTACTTCTATTCAGAATTGTAGTGGTATTTTGAATGCGATTCGCCAACACAGTAACAAGGGGTCTCCATGTACGGCCTTGGAT